CATCAGCGGGTACACTTTCTTTGACCTTCCTTTTCTGGCTGATATACCTATAGAAGCCCTTCTTATTATTCTTTGTGCCCCTTGCCAAGTTCAGCTCCAGCCACGCCTTGGCCTTCCTGACCCCGTCCCTATACAACCGGGCAATGTCCCTATACTCTTCCCAGGATACCTGTCCCTGCTTCCAGTTTCTGTGCATTTCCTTCTTGCCCTTTATTTTGACCAGCAGGTCTTGACTCATCCATGCTGGTCTTTTGCCACCCTTTCCTGATTTCTTACACAAGGGGATCAAGAGCTCTTGTGCACCATGGAGAGCGTCTTCCAGGCCTTAACACCAAACCATCCCCATTTTTCCAGTAAAAACCAAAAATTTATCTCATAAGGCAGGGAGAACGAGTGGTCACCATGTATAAGCAGGTGCCTGCCACTTCCAGGATAATTGCTCAGAAAGTTTGAGATAAAGACTCAGCATCTTTCCACCAGGAACAGATCAAAAACTCATCCCACTGAACCAGGAATCTCTTCACTACACAACCCTTTCCTTTGCAACACCACATAAAAACCCAAGTAAATAAATAAAATAATTTTAAAAAAACAAAAAATAAAAAACAAACAAAACCCCCAAAACAAACAACCAACCCCCCCAAAAAACCAGAGCAAAAACCCCATCAATCTTTTGTTTCACAACTGACCACTGAACAGAAAATTCTGCTTCTACTAAGTCTCAAATGGAAATGTCCTCACAGAAAACATGTAGGGAGAAAGGCAGTTAACAGACTTTCCTGCTTAGATCTGAATTATCTGAAACACTTAGTAAGTATACAGATTGAAATTTTCTTGGAGATTTTTTAAATTATCAGGAAAAGCCAAATATTTTCCCCTGTAAGACATTGTTCTGCATTTTATCAAAAGAGACCTCATCTAGCAAATCCTTCCTAGTTCACTTTCCAGTATTATAAGGGAAGAATTATGTGATAAGTCTGAGAAACACTGCTCTACTAACTATATATAGATTGTCTTGGAGGTTTTCCAACTTGCAAAGTCCTCAGCAGCTTCTTCACAGAGCAAGTGAGCAAGCAGTTCTCCAGATTAATGTTAAACAAAGGTTTGGCTGTCCTGGTCAGTTTTACAGATGGCAACACTTAAAAGCCATAAACAGTACATCTTAGCACTAACACATTCAGCCATAAAGCTCCATTCCTCCTGGATTTAGTTCTCAACATATACTAACACTGAAGCTGAGAAAGAGATGAAACAATTTTCAGAGGCTAGAGAACACTAGAAATTTTCACCACCTAGAGTTAAAACTCAACTGGGTTTGTAGTTGCAGAGAGCTGGTGTAATTTTGGCTGGTTCAAATGTTCAGTATGTGTTCCCATATGCACAGATTATCTTCTATCTCTTTGGGATTGACTGGACATGGCAACTTCACCAGCTTAGAATCATTCCTAGTTTGCCACCGATACAGATGACAGTACACAGGCCCACCGTCTAGAAACTAACTCAGTGGAGTGGAAATTCCCCAACACAGACAAGCCGTTCTAGTCCCACATCTGTAAAATAATGAAAGGTCAAATAATAGCACAATAAATCCTACTGAAATCAACAGGACTATCTTGGGAACTACCCAATCAAAACCTATACGAAATTCTGATTAGTGCACAATTTGGTAAGCATTTGGTAAGGATTTGTTTGTTTTCCATTTGGTTCTTAGTTATAGTTCTCTTGCTTACCATAAAAATTGGTTCATAACAATACTGAGTGTTGCCTTTGGGTTTTTTTTGGGTTTTTTGGGTTGGGGTTTGTTTTTTTTTTGAGAACTCAATATACCTGATTTAAGGCAATTATCACCCACTCAAAAATTCCGTAACTAGAGTCTGACCCAGGAAACAGAATTGTAGGGACCCAGCTCTCACTGCACAAGTAGTTCAGAAATTTTGCAGTAGCTGAAATACATTTCTCACTGTACTTGCATACAAAATCTCTACTTCAGCTTTCATTCTTCTGTTTTTATCCAGAAGTTAATAGATGGACATACATGAGAAGAAAATGTATCTGCTTTTAGTTTAAAAAACCAAAAAACGCAAACAAAAAAAACCCAGACACAGGCAGCTTTCATTTAAAATTACCACAGCCATTAAAATTCTGCAGCCAACACTCACGTACTTTCACTTCAGTTTGAAAGAGATGAATGCCTGACAACCAAAGTGTAGTGTACCAGACAAAAAGATACCTGCTTAAAATGTGCAAGTCAACCTCCTTGCTTATACTTAGAGTTTGACTGTCCACCATTCATATTTCAAGAGCATTTTACTTTGTTTAGTTACCGTAGATTGGAAATTGCATGCAATATGAACAGTATTTAAGAGAGTATTGAATCTTTTCCCTGTCTGAAAAGTACCAAGAGACAGTAGCCTACAAAGACACAATTAAAATACTTAGACTGAACTGAAACAGAATGATGCAAAGGAGTATGTGATGACAACTTCACAAAACCAGTATCACTTAAAGACAATAACGTGAGGCACAAAAAAGCCAGGAAGTGATAGTATTTGATAAGAAGGCAAGTGCTCATAATAAAAAAAGACATTAAAGTTTGACATAAGTTGCCTATTTTATGAACTGGTTTTACTAACCTCACCCCAAAAAACAGGAAAAATTTTGATTTGTTATTAAGAGACAAAATAGCAGATACTGCCAATTTGAACAGATAATTATTTACTGTACATGTTTCAAAGTACAAACAGCACAGAACACAAAAGGAAATACTCCTTTGCAGGATTGTCACCATCCAAATACGTTTGAACTTGAAATTTTAGTTGCATTTAAACACTCACTAAAAGTTATTTTAAATTTGAAAGTATAGAGGAGGTAAATATTTGCTTATAGCTGTGACTGACATGTCTAAAAACATATTTGAATTCCAAAAAGAGTTTTTCTTTCATTTAAAACTTACAGTCCCATTAATCAACAATCACAAGTGCAACCATAAAGGTACTTTTAAAGAAGTGCTGAAAACAAGAAACCTGAATAGGAAAACCAGTTCGGTTTGACACTTCTTTATGACTTAAATCAACTTTTCTTTGCAACTGACAGTCTTTGCTTGTGACAAAACACCACCCAGGACAACATATTCTTACTAGAAACGCTGCTGGAATGTTAACTGCACAGACAGTGGATGGCATCTCCTTTGACACCTGAACTTGCATAATTACTGTGACTACTGGGGCAAAACACTGGCTGCCCAGGCAGCCATACACATGTGCAAAATACCTGCCATGCTCATCTGGTCATGAACACAGACTCAATCACGGAATACGTTTAAAAAAAAAAAAAAGTAATACTTGGGTGTACTTTTCTCCATGTGATTTCTGGTAACTTTGCTTAATTTCTGGCATCCAAACTAGCATATTTTAAAATGGAAGAAATTCTCCTCCACTAGCATTTGCACATGAAAGCATCAGACCTGCAGGACATTTTTCTCGCCTGAACAGGAAACCTGCATGTTTTAATTTTATGTTAATTTTCAGAATATGACAGGCATTCTTTAAGAAACATTCAAAAAAGCATCCCCCCCTCTTACAGCAATGCATTTAATTATGCAAGTAGACAAACAAAGGATCCCTTTAGTGATTAGGGACTACAGTCAGCTAGTCAATGAGTTCTAACACTGGGTGGTAACTCATGGCAACAGGGGAGACAGAGAAGACAGCAGGCTAGATACAAATAGCAGTCCATCTTGCTATTCAGGATCAGAAGAAACAGCACTGCAGAGGGAGGAAAAAAACAAAACAAAACAAAAAACCCCCACCAGAACAGTAATGAACCTGCCAGAAAGCACAATTGGACCACTGCAATGAAAGGTTTATATTATAATGCTTATATTTCCCCCACTACCTTTGTGCTCTTCCTTTTACTTTATGCCTTAAATTTTTGTTTAAGGACCATTTCAATTTAGCTACTTTATTTCAGTTTTGGAGCTCTGACTCTTCTTTTCCTATTAATCACTTTTTAAAAAAGGGTGGGAAAAAAGTAAGTATTATCCTTACCGACTGCACAATTGATCGGGCATCCTCCTCACTGCAACAAAATGGGCTGCCACTCACCAGAACATTTGTACTGAAAAATAAAATTAAAATCATGTTTTATCAATCAGTGGAAAAGAGACACACACAATTAAATACCTATGGAAAAAAACACCTTCACATACAGAGCTCAGAAACGTGTATCTGCAAGAAATGAGGAAGTCAAAAACTCGAAGTAACCAGTACTGCTGGAAGGGAACGGGGGTGTGGAGGGGCATTCTTTGTTTTTTTGTGTTTAAGGGGTTTTTTAGGCTATACATTCTATATTAATGCAAGCAGTGCTCACACTCAGTGCTTCTGGCAGCTAACTTGGGTACAGTTCAGAGGACCGCAGTTAAGAAACTAAATCCCCCCAAAAAGTCAGCAGAGATAAACTGGCTCTTCCTGAGGGAGTTGAAGAACACCTAGATAGCTAGCACAGATGGTGTGAATATCCCCGTCTCTTGTGCCTTGAAGGCTGGCCAGATTCTGTGGCAGGCCACCCTTCGTTTGCAGTAACCTGCCTGCAGTATCTAACAAGAAAGAGGAAAAAACAGGTCAAAACTCTGCTCCTACATAAAGCAGCAGATACCTGTACTGCTTCCAGACAGCAGACAAGCTCTGGGACCAAATACTTTGCAGAAACATTTCCCTATGAATATATATCCTTTCATACCAAAAGTGAGTTAGGTCATGAGTTTTTAAGGTCCTACACAGTAAACAGCAAGAAGTTCAATTCCTCAAAGACTGCGATTTTAATTATTTTTTAATTTCATCAATATGAAGCTCAAAGTGCCCCTGAAATGATCAAGACCAAAATTTGAGTATTATCCTTCAGTATTCTTGCCATGCTAAAGTAGAACTATCAAACTGTCCAACTGCTAAGGTGTTCAATCAGCTCCAAGAAAGAGAGAGAAAGTCACATTTTCCCAATAAAGTAGAAGATGACAGTGACTTTTTGAGCACAGCTTCCCCCACAGCCTTTGCCCTCTGGTTTAGCTAATGGCTATCTACAGCCCTTGGAAAGCACCAGGCAAAGATATCTGCCTGCTCTCAGGGCCTCTGGTGCCAAAACTGCCAATGCAAACCAGTCCAGAGAGCTTAAAAAAGTCCATTTTAATTTAGATCAGGCCAAAGGCTAGTAAAGAACAATAATTTGGTTCTCTCATTCCAGAGAACAGCTGAAAAATATGGAATGCTAAGCTGCAAAAGAATTTTGCATCACAGCAATGCAGCATGGAACAACAGAATAAACAGTGACAAGAGAATTTGCATGGGATACCAAGATTCTCCCAAAATGATCCCAAACAAACACTCTGGGGCCATTTCTCAAAAGTCGAAGTAATCTCTGTCACTTTTATATAATCAATATATTTTTGGAACCACTTACCAGTAAGTTATCATCATACAAGGTGCAATTAGTCAATCATAGTCTGTTATCAATTAATTATCATTCAAAACCATGATTATTCCTGTCATCTCAAAGTAAAAAAATTTAAGCAGTTCATGCACAGCTGCCACATGTTGAATACACCAGTACTAGCACAATACAAAGAGGAAAAAACGTGACTGGATACTTACCACTTAATAGTACCTCCATCAGCTTTTTTATGAAGCAAAGCTTTCCAGTATTCATGGGTGGATTTAATAATTTCAACAGCAAAATCCTAGTTTACATCAAGGAAAGGCTTTATGATTTAAAATGTTATTAAACAGAAAAAAAGCCACAGAACTAGTTCATTAAAACATACTGTTTCATGTGTTATTTTAAGGGGCCTCCTTCGAGGCCTCATTAAATTTCTGGAAAATATAACACCCTTTTTTATGAAAAGAAACAAACTTCTCTATCTGTCAAATATACCGGCAACACATTCAGGACCTTCCCTCAGTCCGCAGCCAGAAAACACGACGGCTGCACAAAAAAAATTGAAATCAGCACTAGATGCTAAGCAGACACCTACAGCTGTAGAAAATTGTACCAGGTCCTAAATGGGACAAAGTGTGTGAGCTATGACTCCTCTGTTACGCGTGCACATCAGGGTCAGAGTTAACGTTTCCCCTCTAGTGGCAAAATTTGCATTTACTTCACTAATTGCCTAATCATATACTTAAGCATTTGCAACAACATAACATGTCAGCTGCTTAACAGTTTTTGTTTGTTTAAAAACAAAAGTAATATTGGGGGTGGGTATGAAAAAGCTTCAAAAAAAAAAAGTGAAATAAGCCCTCAGTGTCCAGATGATGATATCTAGACTGGCTTGCAAAAAGCTGCCAACAGAACATTCACATTTCCTAACAAGGAGTGACTTGGCAAAATGCCACTGGAACATTGTGAACTTCACCAGAGCTGCTGGAGCACAGCCACGGCCGCCTCGCCACATCCTGGGTCTCCAGAAATGCTTGAGAATTATTCAAGTGCTCCAAATCAGCTATCTCAGGGCATTTAATGACTGGAGCATGAACTCCAATGGCCTGACAGGGATATACCCTGTTAAAGTCTCACTACAGAGCAACGTTCTGCTTTACAAAGCAGGAAAATCTCTAAGAGCAGTTCCTGGGAAAACAGGGGAGAGATCAGGTTATCAAGCCTTACAACTCTACACTTGATTGATTTAAAAGACAGTTTTAGTGCAGAGGGGAGTCGGGGCATCTCTTTAACAAGCCAAAACATGTAAAGTTGTCTGTGCTGGTTAGAAGGCATTTTATAACTTTGATAGCACACTGCAAGGCTGAACTAGCTGACACACAGACATCATTCATTAGGAACCTGTGATTCTTCACCAAAAAAAAGTCTACAGAGAGTGTGCAATACACGAATTGCAAAGCACTTTCACTTAAATCACACCCAATTTCCTCTGGAAAAATCCAGGTATTTTCTTCAGCAAGGTCTATTCCCTGGCCCACTCTGCTTTCAAACATTGGCCATTTTTACTGCAGATAGTTTAAAACACCATTCATTTTTTCTAAAAAAGAGAAAAATATTTTTTCAGCCTTCAAGCCAAAACCAGCTCAAATGTTTTTACGTAGAATTACCAGGAAAAAATATACCTTGAGCAAATACCAAATACAAGAAAATCTGCAACCTATTGTCTGTCTTAAACTGCACACCCTTAAAAAACCATCAGGAAAATTTATCAATCAAGACTGAAAAAATACCTGAAAAGACAATCTGTTAATTCCTCTGACAGGGATACCGAAAATGCTGTGGGGAAAAAACCCAACAAACATACAGATGCTTGTGCAAGTCTCATCAGGATTAGGACGCAATGTTTTTTTGCAGACTTCCTTTAATAACTTATGCCTTTTCCCTGAATAAAATGGAGGACAGCAAACATCATTTATTCCTAGCCTAATAAATTGTATTCAAAAGATCCTTCCTATAAAAATTCTTTTTGTTAAACCTCTGCCTTTACAATCCCAAAAATTCTAGGGTGTATTAAAGAGGCCATATGACAGAAAGATGCATCTTTAATTTTGGATTATCTTCACCTTGTCTTTAAATTCTCCATTAAAAGCGAACCGATTTTCCGGTTTACCATCAGGGACTTTATATAATCGGAACCAGTCAACCGTAGCCTCAAGGTAACCTGGTTTGTGCTTCTTGACATCATCAATATCTGTAGGTTAAAAAGAAAAAAAAAAATAGAAAAGCACTGGTGATTTTTACTTGCAATTTTTGTAACATTCATTTTTTAAAGTCTCATAAAGGATCTGCAAGCAATTTGATTTCACCGAGCACTTTCAAGGTCATTGGGGAACTTCACTTTATTACATCAGCTGCCCATAGTTGATATCTTATGATTTCACAACCACACTAAACAGGTAAACCAGTTGCCTCCTGCCCTTCATTAATTAAGACCCAAAGGGAAAATGAATAAAAGGACCATACTTCTGACAGGAGAGGAAGAAAATTCTGTATTTATAGGCTTTCATCTCAGTAGGTACCTCTTGTAATACTTAGATTATTCAGTAAGGTATATTTTTCCCCAGCAACTGCAGGGACTACAGGCATTTTTTGATAATGAAAGAATAGCTAGTAAAAACAATTTCAACACATGGATTTTTAAACCAGCACCTCAAACCAAAATACAGGCTTGACTTCTCGAAGTTATATTAAAGGCATCCCTTTGCTCACACTACTTCCAAATTCAATCCATTAGATACAAGACAGATACGTGCCAGAAGCACTAAACACTAACTCTACTGATAACCCCATGATATCTGCATATTCACAGTGATAAGCCAATTCCACCTTTACCTCTATAATCCTACCATGCAAAGATGGAACAGGACAGAAAGAGGAATGCATGCCATCTGCAAGACACCCTTGGGAGGCAGAGATGAACATTGCCCCACTGGGTATAGAGAGATTAAACAGTCACACAGTAATTCTGCTTGAGGGCTATACTGCTATAGCAAAGACGCAGTTCATGATCTTAAACGTTTACTCCTGCTTGCGTATCAAATTTTAGCAGGTTGACCTGTGAGACTACCATCACTCCTGTCACTTGCAATGAGGTGGTCCTATCAGCCCCTCTGGCAATATGTTTACATGGAAAAGCCTTCAATACAATTTTAATTGATTTTAATACACTGAAGGATTTTGTCCTTTCTGGAAGCCAAGTACTTTTTGTAGCTGGTGTAATCCTTCTCCTTCCATCTATTTCCCTTCTGCAGTCACTTCTGATGGAAATGGGAGCTGACTTCTTATTGCTGTGCTTTGCATGCAGTCTTCCAGCTATTTCGTAACCTCACTCTGCCCAGGCCACCTTCCATGGTGTTATTCTCTTTCTCTAGTGTTTTGCAAGTCACTTGCTCATTTCTTCCTTCCCGATTCCCTCTTGCTCTCTCTCCATACTGCTTGGCTACTTCATTATCTTCTCCCATAGATAATGCCTCACTCACTGACATCTCCTGCTTGGCAGTGATTCCTGATGGATACTCTTCTGTCTATCCAGTCCTATAAACCAGATTTTCAGAGTTGCTTGGTCCACAGAATTGACACCTAGTCATGTGTTTTCCATCTTTAAGTGCCTAAATGTCTTTTTAAAATCTGATCTGTGAACCTGAACAAAGACATTCGAGTATTTCTAAAGAGAACAGTAAGAGAAGGGAAAAAGTCTTGTGCTACAGACCATTCAATTCTCTGTAGACCACCAAGAGAGATGACACGTGGACTGAACTGTGAGACCAAACCTATGTGAGAAGATATGCTGAGTGTTCATAGGCATCTGGTAGACGCCACTCCCAAATTCCACTGGATCACGCACTACCCAAAGAATAAAACATGAAACTTTGAAGAACCCTATGTAAATTTTTACTTCTGCATGCACTTAATAGGGCTACGTGTTTATGGACTCAGAGTAAAACACATTTTGAACTTGGCTGCTGGCCATCTGCTGTAGAAGATTAGGGATTTTCATTGGCAGAATCCCAGAAAAAAGCAAGGGCATATAAGGCTGTGCTAGAGGCAGGTCTTCTAGCTGGAACACATGTTTAAGAGTACAAGAAACCTTTTATGGGGTGGGTGGGTGAGACCAACCCAGGAGGAATGGTTTAGAAAAGGCTGGGGTCTTGGTTGGAGGCAGGCTGCTTCATTTGGGCACTAATAAAACTGCAGCTCGAACTCAAATCAGTTTCAGGGCTCCAGTGTATCATCCTCTTCTCTCCAAGCAAGGGAACATCCCTCCTCCCATCTTGAGCCTTTGTCATCTCTTCCTGTTGCACAGTTTGAACTCACAATTTCTAGTACTTGTTGAAGGTACAGTATCTCCTTAAGTCTGTAAAGCAAACCAGGCTGCTGCAGCAATTTCCTTGGCTCCCAGCAGCAGATGAACTCCAGAGCTCCATCTCCAGACACTACTTAAATTCAAGCATACTTTCTCAGACTGCTGATCCTTTTTCCGGTTCCTGTTCCAGCAAACTTCTCTCCTAACTCTGCTTGTCCATTCCTCCTACTTGGTTATTTGCCTCCTATTCCCATAAAAACTGTTCATCAGAAGTGCTTTACTGTCTACTAACTGACACTTGGGTCCTTCCCCATCTGTTGTTCCATATTTATAGGCTTTGTTTACATTTCTTTAAAGGATTCAAATATTAGAATAGGCTTTGGGACAGGCTTTCATTACCTCCTTAAGATAGGGATGACCATCTTCATGGATAGAATCATCTCTCTGAGTTTCACACTCACTCTACTGGAAAATACCTCGCCTAGGTAAAATGACTACACAGAATCAGGCTACAGCATTATATGGCCCCTTAAAGTACTAGCTGCTGTATATTCTGTTTTTGAGAACTTAAAAAGGGGGACAGTGGTTGCTTTTGTTTCCTTGGTTCCTTGCAAGTTATTCTCCTTCATCCCCATGCTTCACTTCACTATTCTTTATTATGAAGGACAGCTACTGGGCACCAAATGAAGCTTAGATTGAGGAAGAAAAAAACAACCAAAACATCTGTATTATAAGGCGAGTTCGTGGCAAGCAGCAGGAAAAACTGCAACAGTGTAACAAAAAAACCCAAAAAACAACAACAAAAAAAATCAATCCTGTTGCTGTAGAGTCAGCACATACCACAAAATACAAGGAAAAGAGCAGCTCTTGCATCACTCAATAGCTACCTCTTCAGTTCATTAAAAAGCACCATAGAAAAGCTTGAAAGACAGCTTGTCCTCCACTTTGAAATCCAAACAGCATCTTTGGGTTATCAGGGGAAGGAGGAGAAAAATATACTCAGAAAACAGAAAAGTAAGCAAAGAAAGGTAAAAGAAAAGATCATGTTAAGCAGTACAGTGATTTACTGCACTAATATCTCTAGAAGCTAGCTGCATATTATAATAAAAAAAAAAAACCAAAAAACCTTAGATGTCTTTTCCGCAGCAGACACTGTTAGACACTTTTTTCTGACCTTGACTGCTTACCTTCCCTTAGACCTACGTACTCACACTGATATCAAAAGGGGCTGAGCAAGTACGGGAGTAGCAAGCATGAACCTGGCCTAACGCAGTTTCATGTCTGCACGCAAGCCCTGCTCAGAGTGACAGAGCAGAAAGGTCAGGCTCTTGCAGGTACATTAGCAGCCTGTACCCACTGGGCTCTAGGCGGTAATTTCTTTATACTGCCTACATACAACCATAGGTCCCATTTTTCTGGGCACCAAAATTAAGCACCAAGGGTTAAAAAGAGAAGGCTAATCACATTAAGGGTTGCAGTTTAGTCTCAATAAGGAAAATCTCTAGAGGTTGGCACAAACAACTGCTGCTAGCTCTCTGTCAAGGGAGTGAGCCAATGCAAATGCAGATCCCAATTCTATCTGGCTTTACAAAAGAGAGCAACAAAAGCATTTGTACAAAACTACCATTTTTAGTACAACAGATGCTGCTTCTTGCAAGCAAAGCTAAAACAACATGCTTGCAGCAAGCTTTCTAAACAAGGTCTGTGGGAAGAGAGGACATATGTTTTTAATAACATCTTATAAACATTTACAGGAAGCAGCAGCTACATTCCATATAAAGGCATTTGGTGTATTTTGTGCAGCATGGTGTGAGGGGGTAGGAGGGGAGCCTCAGTACAGATAATTAATTTCTTTATATTGAATGCTTACACAAATGCACAACAAAGGTTTTCAGGGCCTCTGCTGCTTCTCTGCACATAAATACACTCACATGCAAGGGTCTGTAACGATATATGGTACAAAGTATGCAATATGCTTTGTTTTTGCCATTTAGGGTTTGATCACTTAACTCAAAAAGCCAATCTTGAATTGCACATTGGAAAAGAAGCATGGCAAGATAGCATAGTTAACTATACCAGTGCCAGCAAATGGTAGCACAACAAAGCCAGTAGACATCACCAACTGCTGTTGAATATATCCAGGCATCTTTCCAGTGAGCAACAGCAAAAAACAGCTGCTAAGATTCCAGGCCAGTAAATCACCTCAAAAATGCCATCCAGCATACATGGTTTGTCCAATTTGCTCAGGGAAGGTAAGATGACCTTTTGAGAGTCAGACTTTTCATAGGCTGCTTCAAACACACTTCCTGCTTCAACTGCCAATGATTTTCAAAACGTCTTGTCCAACATGAAGATGTCATATACATATAGATCAAATTACAGCATGAAAATATCACTCATCCTTTCTGAGCCCAACCTTGTAAAGCACGTCAGATATGTATGTGAATTCCAATACATTAAATTCAGTCCAAATTCTGAGATAAGCAGACAAGCAGCCTTTCCACTCCAAGAATTTGCTTCTTTCCTGGCTAGTATTTTACAAAAAACAACAAAAAAAAAGCAGCCAGGCCTATTACACCACCAAGATTTAGTGTTTCAGTGTGCAGGGAGCTTTTAGGCCCTTTCCCAGACTTGCTTGGTCTGAAGTTGCTTTACTGGTCCGCTAATGGCCATCTGCCTAACTGCCTGAGCAGAAAGACAACACAGTGGTTTTCAGGTAGCCACAAAGACAGATCTTACTGAAATAGGTAAATCTGAAAATGTCCAGTTTTAGTCTAAAAGAAACTTTCTCATACAGATTCCTGACATACAGCTCGTATTTGGAGTGAGATTGTCCCCATGCCCACCAGTATTAGGTACTGTAATTTCAAACAGATTACCTTCCAAAGGTCAGTTCAAAAAGACACTATGCCCCTGCTATTCCCACTAATGACACAGTTCCCACTTGAATAGGTGCTAAGCATTGCTTATCATTCCTGGGTATTGTCACTATAAACTAGAGTTTCTCATTACCCTGTGCGAAAAAGAGTTCTAGGCAGGGTTTCCAATTTAAACCAGTATTTATCAATAAATGCCTGCAGGACACACTACAGTGGCATACTATGAATAAACAATGAGAACTGCTCAGAAGTTGGGACTGCTCAGTTTTAAGTTCTGTGAAGTCTCAGAAAAATCAACTGCATTTACGAGAACGATCACAGCCCCAGAAGGAGAATATACAGAGTACCTGGGGTGTGCTTAAAGCAGCAAGAGGAGTTAACACACTGCGCGGGCTCAGGATGGGGTTTGCAAGCAATCACCACTCTGGTGTCTCAGAATTATCTTTTCCAAATGTTCACTGGGGGCTGTGCACATACTGAGCTGAAAGCAAATGTGATGATTCTCAGTCCAATTTGAAATGTTTAGCAAATGATACAAAAATGACTGGACAGACTTAGAAGGCAACACTTAGCCTTTTTTTTTTAGGAGGCCACCATCGTAACACAGCAGCACATTAATTATTGAGGGAGATACCAGCTTTATCTGTAGCTGCTATTCCTTTATGCTGAAATAATTAACATCTTTAGGAAGGGCGAAAAACAAGTATAAAAGGACATATTGTACTGCCTACTCCAACAGATTTGTTTGTTTTCAGACTGAAGAAGGATTGCTGTTAAACACTGCAAGCTAGTCATGTTTTGTGAAAGCAGATGGGGGCTTTTTTTTTTTTTTCCTTTTTCTTTCCTTTTGTAAATCCTGGACTGCAACTCAAATCCCAAAGGGAAATCATACTAAACTGGACAAATATTTCTGCGCTTCTCTGAACCTCAGAAGGACAGCTCTCTTCTTGAAGTTTTGCACCTATTCTCTGGTAAGAAAGGATGCACACAGGAATCAACTACAGGCAATGGTTTGCTCATTCCCTGCCCCCCCCCCCCCCCCCCCCTCTTTTTTTTTTTTTTTTAAACAAGACTAAAACTCTTACTCCCCTCCCAAACAAACTAAAGCTGTTACACAGCTGACACAAATCAGTCATCACCTGCAAAAAACAGAACAAAACAAAACAGAGGGCTTTCAAATAGAGCTACTTAACCCAGTGGCATAAACTGTCCCAGTTTTGCCCCTCCTTAGCGTGCGCCTTTTAAATTCTCTGATTTTAAATTTCCTGATTAAACTCTCTCAGAAATTGTTAAGGAAAAAAGGTAAGAGTTAAACAGAACAGTGTATAGAAATAAAGGGCTAATTACTTGTCTTTTAACTACCGACACTTATATTGCATTTCACTGCACGTTATACAGAGGTTTAAACTGATACTAACATTTAACAGCAAACTATTACTTACTATTTCTTTAAGCTGAACTTCTTAATCTCTAACTGTCAAAGTAGTTAAAGAGTCATAAACACTATGTAGTAATTCATCTGCCCAATGATTTTAATCAGCATCAACCCAAGAGTTTCCTTTTCCTTATTTCCTCTTCTCCCCTTCTCTCCCCACAAGCCAAGTATTCTCCACGTGAAAACAACCTGCAAGAAAACTGAGAATGAAGGGCCAGTCCAGTAATATACTTACTTTACATTCAAAAACCAGGAAAAAGCCTCAATGGCCAAGAAACACAATTCCTTAAAAAGCTACTGGATAGCCCTATTCCTACAGTCCACTCTGTGCCTTGGTGCTCCCTACCAACAAAGAGCAGGCTCTGATCATACATGCCTGATGGTATATATGGTTTTTGGTCTCATAACAATCACTAACTTTTAGACAAACCTCCTCACTTAATTTTCATGATTCCCAGTACCATTGCATTTGAGGAAGTGAACCTCCATTTATCCAGAGAAAAGCTGCACTTTACCTGTGCTGTAAACCGAACTCCCTGCAGTTTTAACACATCTGTATCATCTTCCTATCAAACAGCCCGCAGAATTACACCTCACGTGCTATTCACATAGACACATTTTAGTACTTGAATTCCATTTGGATACCAGAAGCATGATCACAAGGAGGACAAGTCTGGATGGGATATTTCCCCCTGCACAGCTAGTCATTCACCAAGGCTGATAAGAGGGTGAGCTGCATTAGCAGTTGACTTTGCAAGTTTTCAAGCTAAAAGGTGAAACCTAATCGTTCATGCTAGGCAACAAACCCTGAAAGTAACCCAGTTACAAGTGACAAAACATTGGAAATGTACAGCCCTTTTCAGAATGCAACACAATGCCTGCAAATACAAAAGGAACAAACACTTTCAACAAGGAAAATAGCAGCATGCTACATAATCTGAGTGGGTAAATATGCACTATTACACAGGAAATAAGCCTGTAATTTTAGGAGGTCACTTTCTAAGGCAGTAGTGTTTCAGAAGTCAAAAGACTTTCTGCATGACAGGTCCTCTTGAAAATCCAAGTGAACCTTTTCAAAAGCTTAGTGTGAAAGCACATATGCCCTCCTTGAAGGAAGCACCTGATTTAAACAACAACAACAACAAAAAAAAGTCTTGCCTTTCCGCTGTCTGCCTCTTCTTGACCTGGGTGGCCTAAACTCAGGTACCACTCTACCATGCAAATTGCTGACGTAACTTGTGTAAGAAAGATAAAAATACTTGCCGTGGATTTTCTGAGCTTCTGGGTCATCCACACTGATAGCAATTATCTTCCAATCTGTCTCTCCTTCATCAACAAGAGCTAAAACACCCAAGACCTTCACCTGAACAATCTCACCAGAAGAACGAATCTGAAACAGAACATAATCTCACAAAGATTTGGAAAACACTTCATGGAATTTCTCTTTTAACTTACAGACAAAATAGTTTTACTACATTTTTGACCAGCAGCTAACAGAACTGCAAGATAGATCTGTAAACCACATCTGTTTAACGTTACTAGCCTTTCTCCCACAGTTGCTGTTCTTCAACCCTCAATTCTCCAGTCAGCATTGATTTAAGTTGACAACACAAGCTAGAAAATTTCTCCTTCTCTACTACCCCACTTCCCCTACACCTTCTTGATCTTCACCCCAAACTGCAAGTCAAAAGTATCTCATACTCATTTTTTAACTCTTTCCTGCCTCTTGACTCTGCTTTCTCAACTCTTGGTCTTTATCTCTTGCTGTTCCTTCTTCTAGACTCCAATACACACATATAAACACACACCCCTTCCCCAGAAATATCAGCACAACTCTTTTTTGTATTTTCTTGGGAACCTTCTCCCTACCAGATAATATTCCCTTTATAACTCTTTCTGGATTCCTTGAAATTCAGCTTTAGGTTCCTTTCCTCAAATAAAGCTACCTTTGCTGAGGTCACCAATTAAATTTCTCCTTACGTAAAATATCCCAAGAGATCCTTCTTCCAAACTCATCCCTTTCATAACCCCATCTTTGATACCATGGAGGATTGCTCCATTCTTTGCTGCCTCAGATATGTAGAATTTTTTTTCAGTGAGCTAAACCTTCCCCCTATACCTACTAATGGTGTTTGCTGTACCTCTTTTTCATCCATCCACTCTAAATCTCATAATTCTGCAACACTGCAACAGGTTCCTGTCTTTTCCTCTAGAGAAAAGGGATCTATTTCTGTTTGCACCCATGAGAAAACTCAAACCTACCTCCTTTGTGGGTCTGATCTTGTAATTTTATGTGCATGACGCTGCCATGCTTCCTCATCTTTCAGAAACCTATTCCTAGCTCCAGTACTGCTAACAGGGGAAAAAGAAAGAAAACTTTTCCTTCCCCCAAAATCTTAACCCCCTCCCCTCCTTCACCCAAAACTCACTGTCCAGCCACAGAACTTCAGGGTGGTGTCCTCTTATTTTCCCTTTTATCCAGTACACAGACTTTCCCAAATCCTGCTTTTTTTCTCGTTTTTAAAAATCCACCATTTCCTTACCTATTCCCTCCTCAGATCCTCTATTCATACTTTTGTCATCCCCTGAGACTATTACCATCTTTACTTGTTTTCCATCTACCCTTCTCTTCCAAAAGTTGTTACCAAATTATTAAATTAACCTTGATAAATTAAATTAATCCTGATAAAGACAAACCTTTGAACCTATTTCACAAACATCAATAGGATCATTATCCCCACAGCATCCTGTACTGTTATCTGTATGGTTTGGATCTTCCCAGGTCTGTCAAAAGAAAGAGAATTATCAGTTACCAGCTGATCTGCAATTACAATTCGTCTAACCACTAAACTACTAAGATTACTAAGATTAATGAAAACACCAATAAAAACATCAGCTTTCTGAGAACAGTCTTGCTCAATGGGAAAAGAACAAACAAACAAACAGCCAATGGACTGATGTTGAGTAACTCATCCTCATACTCAGGACAAGTAACATGAGGATTACTGAGGACATAGTAACAAAAGCATTAACTGCACCCATGACAGACACACTTAATCAAATTGCAGTGATTAAGGCATCAGAGGACCCTGAATACGTATTTTCCTGGTTACTAGTGGTTGTGGGATTAAGCTAGAACATCGTACAATCACATTCTTCTTATACTCTTTAAATACCATGGCACTAACATAAGTTGCTTTCAAAAACATCTAGGCTTTGAGCTAACCAAGCTCCTAAGTATGGATTTGTCAGCACCCAATTAGTTTTTTAAAGTTTTTAGATTTAGGTATGAAACATTTCTCAGTATTTTGAGATGTGTACATTCCCAAGAACAGCCAGCAGCTTAAGGCCAAAGAAGCTTCTCCAGGAGGCAAGTTCAAATCCCTGCTCTGAGCTCTGTATAAGCAAGGAACCATAGCCAAGTTATACTAACTTAATTACCAGAGCAACACTGGTTTTGTCTCTCACTGGCTAGTAATCAGTAACTCATTCTAAAGTTGAGAAGTTTTCCTGGTAAAAATTTTGAGTCCAATGAAGTTTTGTTGAAAATGTGTTAGAAAAGTTTTTTCCAAGGAGCTATACTGTTAGCTCCTGCTGTCCACGATCAAACCTCCACCTCAAACTTGTTCTTGAGAACTTGGCTGATACGAAAAGGCAAAACTGTGAAAAGCAAATGCTCAGGTGTTTGGGTAGCAGAATCATTACCAAAAAATTGCTGAAGTGGAGTCAAGAGAGAATTTCAACTTAAAATTTATTTTTCCAATACTCTTCCAAAGTGCTTTTTATTTAAGGCTGCATTATACTGGTACTATTATCCTGCCCAGCTGCACCCCTCCACCTGTAGGTTAGAATGAAAGCTCGCCAGGAATGGTATTGTTCTCTGGATAGTAGAGCAACTCCTGCAATAATGATAGTCCTACTGTCATTTTTTCCTTCCTTTCCTTTATGTTCCACAGCATAAAACAGCAGCCACAAATACGTATCTTTAACCCATATACTAGGGCTGAACTTCTGGCAACTGCTGATCCTGATGAAAAGTCCTCTTGTGACAATGGAGACACTGAATCAGATTTTGTTTGTTACCGCTAGTAGGAATCTAGAATATCATCTAGACTTCAACAACTGGAGGTGTAATGATCCAGCTGCTATTTTAAAGTTATTACAGAAAATAAAAATGACAATTATCGCCAGCCCTCTCTGACTCACAAGGTAACAAGGGGAGCTGAACATTTATCCCGGGGAAAGTGTCATCAGTCCAAAATAATGCACTTTGTGCAGGAAAATATTCAAATGTTTAATTTTGACTTTGTACTAAGGCACACATGAATTTCAAAACATTAAATGGAATTGCTGGTTCCCAATTATACCTACTTGTAAACTTTGTCTGCTGAGACTGCTGACTGGGTAAGAACTTCATTGCTATACTCCAGCAGGGTGTAAAGAAAATAAATTACTCTTTCCTAGCTCCATCATGTTCTTCAGTACTAATTTAACTCCAGTGCGTTATTCACAGAAATGAAAAAAGTTTAAAACCTTTCATTATGCTCAAAATTTCAGCCATTAGTTGCGCTTTTTCAAGGCTCAAAATTTTGAATGTGTCATGATCAGTAAAGTCTCACAGTTCAGAAAAAAGTTAACTAAGGCAGTTGAGGTTTAATCTAAAAAAGAACAGCCCTTGTGTTCCTCTTTGTTAAAGATATTAAGAAATCCCAATTAAAATTTATGCTGCAATACATGAAAATCCTAAATTAGTTTTTAAAAAAATGTCTTGTTTAAGCAGAAAAGGGCTACTTGACAAAGTATTATTGAATGGTAGACCACGACAGTTTAATTCTGTTACTACAGTACAGAGATGCAGACTAAAGATTTGAGATTTCTTGATCATTTAACTCTTTCCTGAAACACGGCACATATTTACACCCACACCCAAATTCTGATCAAAATTTATGGACACAATAAAGCTCAACATAAACAAAATCCTAATTTACAAATGTATCAAAGAAAAACATCCTTCTTGCAACTGATTTGCATTCAGGCAGTACCCAAGATTTACAAGGCAATTTACACAGAAGACAGAAAACTTTCACCATTATAACAAAAATGTTACCTGTGGGAGGGCACCATAATTCCATATATAACCCTTGTGAGGAAAGATATTTGCCACGTATCGAAGCTTGCCTTTCTTTATATCTTGTTTAATGGGATTCAACGGTTCCTCAGTGGCAATCTAAGCAGTGAAAAAGAGAGAGAGGGAGAGAGAAAGAGAGAATGGTAAAACGGAAAGCAATTCATTCTGTACGCAACCGGTTAGAAAGCTCCATCTGGGAGCACGTGCTTGCGGCTTGAGAAGTATTAAAAGCACGATGGCCTCACTCTAAATCTCAAGGGGGATGTTCAAAAAGCAGCTTATTAAGGTTTTAAATAACGTTGTGAAGTATGCAAGAACAAAAATGAATGTAGAAGAGAAAGTAATAAATTTATAAGGAGACTGTCATGGTCAAACATAAATACTGAAAAGAACTTAAGTTAGAAGCTCTTGCACTTTATAGTACAAGTTCAACAGACATACAAATGGTGGCACAAGTTCTTCAGCCAACAGGGTCTTTGACAGCAACAGGGGAAATGTTTCATCATCTTCTCACCCCCTGTTCATTGCTCTCCTATTGCATACATCCCTTCTCTCCACCACCTCTCAGCATACAAATGCTTTTTAGTAAGGACAAGTTCTGCATAGTCACCAAATGCCAACTTCATGCAGATTTGGAACAAGTTAAGTAGCATTAGAAGAAGGCATTCTTATTCCCAAAGAAGCACTCACAGAAGGACTGAAGTAATTAAAGCTGGTTTATTATTGTCATTATCCTCCCCAAAACCTCAAATACAAACCCACTGCCGTATAAGTTACCTACCACACATCAGCTAATTCGCTGTAACCATCCTTTTGACACTCGACACCACAACCCAACCCATGTTGGCTGCCTCTTGCTTACAAACACTCATCTGAATGGCATCACATTTGTTACAGGCTATGAGCACACACTGGCTCAGGTGGTACGTAGCTTGCATGCATAAGCACACAGCCCTTAGTCCACATTTCATTTTACAACATCCTTATAATTTACCTAAAGCACCACCACCAAAGCCATCCCAAAGGAATTCCACCTTTTTGAGCCACATCAAACTGTCAATAGCATGCACTTATTCCAAAAGAAAAGCCTCCCCAAGAGCTGAGATCAAATCACACATTTCTGGTTTCACATGTAATTCTACCTGCTTCTGGTCAAAACTTAACAGTGAAGACCTCGAATATGCCACCTGGAACTTTGACAGAAGTGGAGCTCAGCAATGCTTTTTCTTGATGTAAACCGGGACAAGGAAGAGTAACTGACAACAGCAGACAAAAGTCTCATGAAAAGCACCTTCAGTAAAATCAAGGAAAGAACAGGAATGATGAGCAGGAGATCTGGCACCAGGGATGTAACAGTGGGATACATTCATCCTAAGGCAAGGTTTAATTGCCTACAGTCTCCATTTCACGTGAGGGAATCTCAGCACGGAGATGCAGACAAGACCTGGTATTAGCACCCTACCACAGTCTGGACTGAAGGACTGCCAGGACACAATGGCAAGGCAACTGCCTTAACCATTAATGCAGGAAATTTCAAGTATATTAAAAGTTATAGATAGAGAATTACACGTGGCGTCCTCTGTCAAGCCAGAAAAGTCTAAACCCACTGATTTCTGAACCTAACAGGACAGCAAACTTTTCTACCCTTGACATAACATGCCGAGAGAAGGGGAGAGAGAGCAACCTGAGCTTTTCGCTCAGGTTCAAATAGCATTGTCAAAGGGAAATTCTGTAAAAGAGAACTCAATTTCCACAATAAATCATCATCTTAAAATACAAGGTAAATATCCAAGGTAACCCTGCTTGCAAAATAACAGCCGTGGTGGTAAACACAGTTCAAATTATCTTCCAGCATCAGGGAAAGGAGAAAACAAAATTCTGAAATAACAGGATGGAGAGGTTCTTTGGTGTTATTTTTAATGATGAAAATAGTTAACTGCTCAACTACAAACTTCCTTAAAAGCATCCAGGAAGCATCTCTAAAATCAATACAAATGTTCAGGAAGATAGGACATATCCTGGTGAGATGTTATTTCACTAACACTACAGATGAAGCATTACTCAGCTTCTATATTGTAACTGCAGAGGAACAACCCACTAGGCTCTACTTTTAAAATAACTCCCTGCAGGAATAGATACTTTCAATCAGTGAGGTCCCCAAGTATTTTTTTTGTCACAAGGAAATGCTTTTTCATTTGCAACTCCATTTGTCAGGATTTGGCCTAGTGCACTATACAGCAGAAATGAGAGGAATTAAATCCTCTGAGTGGAATGCTCTATGAGCAAGCAAGAGTAAGACTAAATGTTGGACACTGTCCTGCAAGCCAGTACTCTAGGACTCTGTTGCAGGTATGCTGCACTCTGCAGTTAGAGGGCTGTCAAGAAGCAGTGCTCACCTGCAGAGGGGAAACAAAATTAGAATCTCAACACTTTTTATAATCGCAAGGAAAGTGTCTGTATGCACAACTTCAAATTAATTTTTTAACAGGGAAAATTTTATGTGTAAGGGTAATCCACACTCTGATTAAACACTGACTATTGGAAGCCACCGCATTGTCATAACTTTCATAAATACCTATGTAATCAAGGTATTTTTCTTAATTACCTCCATTTTTGCATTCGTCCAACGAGGCACTTCTACAATCATATTAAACAGGACCTAAAACAAAAAACAATGACAGAACTGAAAATAAAATCCACTTGGCATTTAGTATTTTACAGTAAGACAAATTCTCTCCTCTGTATTCAGCCGCAACACACATCACATCTCTCTGTTCCAGCTGCTTTTACGTGAAGTACAATTCATTTAGTTCCACACAATGATATTCAACCTCCTTGGTTCATCCTTTCCCCAGCCCACCCCTTTGAGAATTTGAACAACTACAAGTAGTGGAAATCCACATGATGTTTTTTATTCCCGTATCAATACTACCCTTCACAAAATGTTCAGAAAGTCCATGGAATGGTTTGCCACAAGGCAGTGGTTCAGTCTACTAGTCAAAGAGGATTGGACATTTCTATAGGACAGAGTTAACTTCCCCCAAGCACTGGAAAGGACAATGTTTGAGGATTTATTTCTTCAAGCCCTCCTCTTTTGCCTCATTCATTTTTCTAAAAACCCATGCAAATGCAACAACCACTGACATTCCTGATTCTCAGTCAAATCTGGTTGAAGTGAGGCAAAATGAATCCAAAAGTGATGGCAGAGGAACGACATGGACAGAGACACCTTATGTTTGCGTAGCCTTCTTCCTAACAGAAACAAAGCGAAAGTTGTTTTAAGAAGGAGGGTGCGGGGGGGAAATAAACTTAAAACATGTAAACTTTCATGCTTTTAGAAGAAAAATAAGTAATCTATGCCCTTCTTTAACCACTGAGGACGTTAAAAGTGACATTTTCCAAAGAGAACAACTCTGCATAACTGCTGTAATGTTTCTTCTTCTAAGCTGTCAGAGTTAAGCACTACCAAGGAGTAGAGTATTAATCGAAATGGGTAACTAGACCAAACCACCCAGCAATTTCTACAACCTATTTTCTCCTAGATTACTAAAATAACCTCAAAATATCACATTGCCTGGGACATCTCTTCATAGCCAAAAAAAACTCGTACTGGTATTAAAAATCACAACAGTTCAGGAAGGACAAAATATGTTCTTGCAGAAATTTATAGTACAAAAAATATAAAGTTAAACCAACTGAAGACTTGCACTGACTCTTTAACTACAATGCAATTAAGGCTCCAGCAGACTCTTAAATATTTGTATTTTTGCTCCTTGTATCTTGCAGCTGCAAAAACCAAATACCATTACCAGGGTCAATGCCACAGTCTGATTAAAGTCATTCCAATAGTTCTATGATCTTCTGCTCCCAAACAAACTTGGAATGTGGAAAGCAAGAAGGCAAAGGAAAAATCCCAACTGTCACTCAGTGTTTCTCCCATGAGATCACAAGCTATGCACAATCCTGGCAGCAAATTCCCAGCAAATTTAAATTAAATTTGCCATCCATAAGTACTGTGTCCATACTGCAATCAGTGGCATGTCAGATGGAATCACTTTTCCCGATCAGGTCACAACCAAATAAAACAGGAAAAAAAAAAAAAAAAAAAAAGGAAAAAAAAAGGTGAAAGGTGCTTCAGATCAGTTTCATAAAGTACACCTTATGTATATAAGAACGGTTGAAACAGAGAATTAATCAGAAAGAGAGCTCAAAGATGTCAACACTAAGGAAGCAGACAGAACAAAGCAACATACATGCAGCAGCAGGTAAGGAAAGGGTTGGAAGAGAGCCAAATAAAGTCTGCACATCCAACTGGGAAACACTTGGAAAAAAGAAATGCACAGCATGAAAGCCAGTGCTGACAAGAAACTCTTAGGGAACTGCCAAGGAGGTCAAAGAATTGTTCTGACTGGTAGCTACAGGCAGAAAACTTACAAACTGCTCCTGGAATTATACACAATGTCTTCCCCTCCACCACAATCCTGTGTTTTTTTCGTTCAGATGCCACTGTACATTTTCCTGACCATGCCTAATACAATGGCTTCAGCAGCCTGTAAATCTTGGTTTTGAGCTTTAATCGGTTAAGAGTTATTCCAGGTCTTCATCAAAACAATTCTCAGGGCTGGACAACAACTGGACTGAAAGTAATACAATGCTGCTCTCAAAAATAAAAAAATCACTTGGATTTAACTCAGCTCTAAGACTAGGCCTTCATAATTTGTGGTATCAGTCAAATGTGAATTGTCAACAGTCTTAAATGTGACAGCCTGACAGATTAATTTGTATGCAAAAAAATCCCCGAAAGTACTCTCTCTAATGCTAAGCTGCCACAAGCATTTACAAGAGATTAATAACTTCATGCAGGGCTTACATTTAAAAATAAAAAGTTTTATTTATAGGGCAATCACATTTTCACAGTGATGAGACAGGATTCACTGGTGTGGAAAGGAGAGCACATACTAGGTAGTCTGACAGATTAAAAAAAAGAGAAGTGGTATACTCCTCTGTTTTTTTAGGGTTTTTTTCCTCCTCTTTCCTACCTTATTTCCCTCCTTGCCTAAATATCACCCAGGAATTTTTCCATCACTCTTATCTTCCCAGACCAAGCACCTCTTCCTTCTGCCCACTTGAATGTTCTCTCCCATCCCTTGCTGCAAAACCATCCCTGCCTCAGCTGCAAACAGAAATGCAAGTGTCAGACACCACCTGTCTTCATAGATTACCATCTGCATATGCCATTCAGTGGTTAGTTTTGGATGGTGAATGCATCTGGTAATTGATATTTTTATCTTTATTTTAAATCAGTAAAACAAAAAACTCCACCCCACCAAACCCCCAAGTAAGCACTTCTACCCCCTCAAGCAATGGTAAGACTGTTTCAACAGCCCACTTGACACACCTTCCAGTGACAGAAAAAGAAAAAAGATCTCTCATGAAACGAAAACTATTGCTTTGGAAAGTTTACCATTTAACTCTCTCAGTATGACAGCAGTCAACTGGTCTGCCTATGAGATCGCTGCTTGCTGCAGTCCAGATTTAATCCAACTCTGCAAGCGCCTAATGTAGAAGGGACTCCACTTCATGACAGCAGACTGTACAACAGGCCAGATGGAGTAGTTCCTACAGGCTAGCCTCATGCCAACTCTGCCGGCTGATGGTTTCTTCAGGACAGTCTCCTGGAGCAGGCAAGAAAAGAGGAGGAAACAGCTTCCTAGATTCAGAAAAAGGGACAGAACCCATCTGCTAGGGGAAGTGACCTGACAGAGCCCAGAGGGACTTTCAACCCAGGGTATTTTGTAGCTTGTTTGACTTTGGGTTAATGTGAACACAAGACAGACATTTGTACTTATGCTCTATTATACCTTGAAGAGATGATGGGAAGAAAAAAAAAAAAAAAATCCATTTGCTCAACAGAGAAGTCAAAAGCGCATTTCCTAATTCCTAAAACTGAATATGAAAATCAGCAGAAAGTGACATCAGAAGGAACACCCAGTATGTCTAAATAATATCCTTTATTTCCTAAGAACTACACGCTAAGTACATTACATGGGAACTCACGTAGGACGTAAGTAAGTGTTTGCTTTATCAGGGTGTTTTCTTTAACACTGTCTGGCAACTGACTGCATTCCATTTCAGTTGAACATCATTTTTAATATATCATGATACCGTTTTTGCTGAGACAAGCAAAAATGTCTCTCTTTCACACAGAGAACAGGAACAGTTTTTGTTTTTCGAAATAAAAAACCCACAGAAAGATAAAAAGATACACAAATATACTTCAACACATTCATACAGCAAATGTTGAGAAAAGCAAGGAAAATATAGACTGTTGTACCCGGGTAAACTGTGAGTCAGCATTCTCTCCACTAAGACTGATGGCCAAAAATAACTGCTAGCTCTGGCTGTACAGATTCTTATAGAAGATAATTCATTTTGATCAGGGTTTTTTATTACAAACCTGAATATCACAGGAAGAAAAAAAAAAATTAAGCACATTTCTAACACTATTTTTACAACCTCCCTTCTGGGCTCCCATACACCCTTCTCAGAAACAATTCTTCCTTACCTAACTTTCCCTTTCTTGTTCAACTATTTTCTTTCCCGGTTTTCCCAAGTTCTTTAGCTGGTGCATTTGAGGGGAGGGTTTTGCACAGGTATGATTTTGCCCAAGGGTTGCAACACTTAATGCTCAACTCTGAAGGTTCAGCTAATTTGAAGCAGAAGTGGAGCAACATATGTAGAGCGAGGAAAGTGACAAAACAAGAGAGATAAAGAGAGGAACAGAAACTCAGTATGATTTCATAAAATGACAAACATCACCGTTTTTTAAGGCCTGATTGCCATTCACCATCACCCTTGCATGACAGGGAGAAGAGATATGCTAAAGCGTACAATTGCTTTAGTCATTTTTATAGTAGAGTGCTTAAAAAAAAAAAATCTGAAAGCATTAGAGGCAGCATTTGGGGACTACTGACCCTTCCTCACTGAGAAGCTCTGAGCTCACAAGACATAAGGAAGAAAAAGCATTTTCTTTTCTGTCTGCTATCATTTCCATTTCTTTTCTGTCTGTTCATTTGCAATTTTGCGGGGATTCTCATCAGCCATCAACTGAACATGGCAGCATGCACCTGAGGACTAACAAGAACAAAAAAGATGAGCTGCAGTCCAGCAGCAGTGTGAACAAAGGATGATGTTTCAAAGGAAAAAAGAAAAAAAGAAAAAAAGAAAATAAAAGGAAAAGAAGGAAAAGGAAAATAAGGACTGTCATGAAATACAACCAGAAATAAATGGAGAGGGGCTTGCTTATAAAATGAGTACCCATGTTATAAGCATTCCCAGTGTAACACTTGCTACAAGGTATTTGCCAATGAAAACAACAAACCAGATGCCAGCAACATCTGGAGACGAAATATACTGTACCTAAATGAGAAGTCAATGGAACTTTTCCAATATAAATTAACATGCTACACAGCAAAAAAGGAATGCAGTGCCCAGCATAAATGCAAAATGCCTGCAGCCTCTTCATAGTGTACTTCTCTCACGTTATAGTGAAAAGGGAATCACGAACAGTATGTAAGTTTCTACCCACAGGTATCCCAAAAGTGGTGTCAGACATACTCTGATAAACTAGTTACCAGACACATTCACCTGCAAAACTAC